CTGCCCTATAGAAACACTGTGCATGTGCAAAAGGAGTCCTGGAAGTATAGCCATTTTGCAGCAGTAAAAAATTGGAAACTAAATAAATGCTTATGAGCTGGAGAATAAATAAATCAGTTTTGAAACATGTCACCAATGGAATATCAGAAAATAGTTAACATGAATAAATTCTGTGTGTATGTGCATAGGTGCATAAATATAAAGGTAAAAATAGTACCTACAATACTGGACAATAAGTAAAGCCTCGGAAGAATTTTTTAAATGATTTTATTATTTATAAAATGTATGAATACTTACAAAACATACTACACATTGCTCGTAGACATATAGATATGTGGTAAAAATATATTTGTGAGAATCATATATTGTCAGAATGTTTGCTAGCTCTAAGCACACAAAAAACAGAAAGAGATTGAAGAAGGATACACAAGGAGTTTTAACTTGTTTTGCAATATTTCTTAATAATATCATGTGAATATGAATTAATATGAATTAATATTAATCTGAAGCAACTATGATACAAAACTCGAATCTGATAGAGCTAGAGGGTGAATTTGTTGTTATCTTTTGTATCCTTCTGTAGATTTTAAATAATAGCTTAAAAATAAATTAGAAATCCTTAGATAAATATACTACACGGTGGCAGGAACGAAATTAGATCTCAGTTTAAGGTATTCAGAGAGTCAAAAGGATTTAGGTAATGGGATTTTCAGTTCATTTTGTGCTTGAAACTTTTATTTCATCAGAGTATCAAATTTCACAAGAAATGGTGAATATTTGTAGTATAAGTGATTTTTCATACACATCTTTAATTTTCAGTTTCAAATACTTGAGCTTTTCAGTAAAAAGACTGGCAGCTGAACGTTTCCATAAAGGTAAAACATTTCTCAATATTGATGAATAAGCAACAATAAGTCTACCAAATTGGACTAAATTATATTGTGCTTTGTAGTTTATATACTATTGTCCATGTGCATTTTTATTTACAATGCAAAGTATTTTAAGTTATCTTAATTTACAAATAATACCTCCATTTTGCCTGATCACCAGCAATTGCCAACCACATTTATAGAACATCCAAATTAAAGAAGTATACATTTGGCAATAAACCTTGAAAAGAGAGCTTGGTTTAGACTTTTATTTTGAGAAATGATATAAGGTAAAACTCAAAGTTTGTTGCATCTTGAATGATAAATTGAATAGTATGTCTGGTAGAAGGAATACAAACTCGTAATCTTTGAGAAGGGACACTTTAAATGTAGTATTAGTATACAGATTCATGCAAAGTAATATGTCCTGAAATTTTACAATTATTGCCTCTATGTTTTGTCTGGTTGCAAGACTGACTTGCTTGATCATGTATTCTTTACATTTCATTATATATATCAAGATTTGAGTTGACTTCTAGCCTCTTGTATGGCTCTGTTTCTGAGGCTGTTTGTGTTTAGCTTATTTTAATATGTGTTCACCTAAGTGGGGTTGTCATAAATTGATCCATACAGGAAATTCTTGAAGCTTTCTTTTTTTTTTTTTAACTTGTCTCTCACATTTCAGTTTCTTATTGGTATTATTCTAGCTCATTTTTCAGTTGTGTCCTGGAGATAATTGCCTCTAAGAACCCACATTCATTCATGAGCATTATTGAACATCAGCTATGTGCCAGGATTTGTGCTGGATAGGCACAGTGGGAACGAAGGGTAAAAAACAAAATAATTTCAGCCTGTGGAAAAACATAGAAAAGAAACAAATTAAATTAATTTAATTAATTAAAATTAATTAATTAAAATGTGCAAAATAATTAATATGGTTTAACAGAGGAGGGGGTGATTAAGACTCCCTAGAAGAGATGAGGAAGGGCTTCTTATGTTCTCTGAGAGCCAATGTTTCCCTCAACATACAGAAATTATAGGATAAATTTAGTACTTGGAGCTATATAAATTCTTGTAATCTTACATATGTTGTGACATTCTAGGAAATCAATGGTGTAAATTAGTGATTTGATACCAGTGAACTAATATATGTTTTTTGCTTTCTGATTCAAATCTAGATTAATTTGGTCAAGGATCTATGTCTATAAAAGAGATGCAAACCTCTTTTTGATTGTATTATAATTTTTTTTAAGATACAAGTAAAAATTTTCTTTTTCTCTAATAATTTTGTCTTGAAATAGCAGATTTCACTGATTCATGAGGCTCTCTAGAATATTCTTTACAGATTTTTATTCTCAGAAGCTATAACTGATATAATTTTGTACCTAATTATATCTGGTGTATTCATTATATCATTTGTCCTACATTTCTATATTTTGCGAATCATTAAAGACAGAACTACATAACTAGGAAGTTTAGATTTTGATTTATCATATTTGGTTTAACTTATGAAGCGTGTTTTTCTAGTTCCTTCAGGATCTTAACAGTGCCCTATACTATGACTATTTTTTTTTAATATTCACCTCTATTAATTTTACTCTGAATATGCAAACAAGGTATTCTGGATCTAGACAGATTAATTATTGTTAAGTAATGCAATGTTAATGATGATGATGATACTGATGACATCTGTGTCAGTCCTCCTTTGACCCAGTCCTTACCCCTATAGCAACATGATGAAAACTTGATGAAAAAATCTCCTACACATATCCAAGGGCAGAAAAAAAAATGGGCTTGCTCTGCTTAAGGCAGCTTTCTTCTTTTCCTCTTCTGAAAGGAGGGAGAAAAACCTGTGCTCTTCAGAGAGGAGATGGAAAGCATCATGGGTTCTCGCTCTAATCTTTTGGAATCTAAATATATCTCTCCAAGGACCATATTAGCCTCCTGTGCCTCCAGCTTTTCTAACCTACAGATGTCTGTAAATTTCTGGGCTTCATCCTCTCTTGAAATGTAAACATAAACCTCTTTCACAGTTAGGTAAATCTCTCTGGAGTTCTCTCACTACTCAAGACAGTTGTAAATTAACTTCCCAAGGGTGGCTCTTAGCTCAGGGTCTTAATTTACAGCAAATTCATGCAGAAAGCCCCAACTCTGCAGAAATAAAAAAAGTATTTTCTCTACTCTTAAGAATGGCAACATGTAGGAAGCTTCTATTTTTTTTTTTTTCCTGTGAGAATTTTTGAGAACTGTACTTTTTCGGAAGCAAGTAGAGAATAAAAACTCAGAGTTCATAAAACTGATTACTATGCTATTATTACCTCTTGATAAAGCATATTTTAAATATGAGACTGTTCACTTTCTTCTAAGGTTATACATGTAAAGCAATCTAAAGTTATATTTGCAATGGGCATATTCGTTACTTGGGTAGTTATGATTTTACATATTTTGTCCGAATTTTAAAATTTTGATGATATCATCCTAGTAGCTACATTGGTCCTTAAAAAAAAAAGTTATCTTCTCACAACCCTTCTGACTCCAAATGTGTATGTTTCTTCCTTACACCATCCAATTTTCCAAGTCTCTGGTGTAGGTGTGGAAAGATGTGATACCTTTCCTCACCCATAATAGGGGTCATGTCAACACTCCTAACAAAAGACAGGTTAACAAGAGAAAAGCATAACCAATTTATTTGATCAAAGTTTTACATGACACAGAAGCCCTTAGAAAAGATGACTCAAAGACCCAGTGAAAACTGATCTTATGCTTAGGTTCAGTGAAGAATGAACAGCCTTGTAGAAATGTAATTGGATAAACAGGGTTGGTTCTAATGATAATAAACTGAGGGGGGTTAACCCAGCAAGGCTGTTCAGATTCGTCTTGACCTCTCTGTGCAGCATTCCTTCCTTCAGGGTATGGGGCAGGACCCCTATAGAATGAGGGCCTGCAAGGGAGAAGGGAGAAAGTGATTTTTTTTAGGTTTTATGGCTTGCTTTGGGGAAGAAGGCTTTTAGTTTCTAAGACCCATCTTGGGGAAGAGGAATTCTGGTTTCTATGACTTGCTCTGAGGGAGAAAGAGGGGTAAGAGAGGGGAAGGAGAAGATTAGAGAGACCTTGTTCTGAGGCCTCCTAATCTCCTTTAGTTCAAAGTACTCAAGATGCCACAGTGCCATACTTTGGGGTATTGTGTTCTGAGCCCCAACACCAGGCACCAACTTAATGTCCAATGATTCAATTCAATTCTAACACTACTTAGAATTAGTACAGGCCCCACAAGTTAAGGGTTCAGTTCCACAAAACTGCCCCCGCTTCGGACACCAATTGCAAGTCTGGGCCTCTTTTACTTCTGACTGATCAGCTACAAACTGGGGATTGCTACAATCCCCGTTTGGGGTTTAATAATTTTCTAGAATGCTCACAAAACTCAGGGAAACATACTGGTTTATTATAAAGGATACAAATGAAAAGCCAAATGAAGAGGTACATAGGTGAGGTCCAGAAGGATCCCAAGTGCAGGAGCTTATGTTCCCATGGATTTGAGGTACATCACCCTTCTATCATGAGGATGTATTCACCAACCTGAAAGCTCTGCGAACTTCTCAGCCTATGGGTGTTATGTCTAATCACATGATTAGTTCCTCTGGAAACCAGCCCCCATTCTCCAAGAATTACCTCATTACAGAAACTCAGGGATGGTCGAAAGGGGCTTATTATGAATAACAAAGATTCTCCTCTCAACCCTAGCACTCAGTAAATTCGAAATTTTAGGTGCTATATTCCAGGAACCAGTGACAAAGACCAAATACATATTTCTTATTATGTCACAATATCTGTCAGAATCTATTATTAACTCTAAATCATTTGAAGTAGGCAGGAAGCTTAATACTACAAGCCATGATATTGTCAGAGATCAGGGAGTATCACTGATACATTTGAAAAATACAGCAAATTCTAATTTTGAAGAAAAAAGAGCTTTCTGTGGTTATTGTGTACTATCAAAATTAAATATGGTAAGAGTAATATAACTAGGGAAAAGTATGTAATCCTATTAATAATAAAGGAATGGGACAATTTACATAGTTTTAAAGCCTCCTGCTCAATTTTGCCTTTAATCAATTTACATTTTTCTCCCAGGTTTTGAACTTTCACATTGTGAAGATCCTGGCATTCCACAATTTGGATACAAGATCAGTGACCAAGGCCACTTTGCTGGTAGCACTATCATTTACGGATGCAATCCAGGCTACACTCTCCATGGAAGTAGCCTTCTTAAGTGCATGACAGGGGAAAGAAGGGCATGGGACTATCCTCTGCCTTCCTGTATTGGTAGGATATGCTTTTAGATTTTCATTAATTATTTATATGAAGATGTTATCAAAATATACTCTCTATTTTCAAGTGATTCTCTCTGTCCACATACAACTTATACCTTATAGAAAGAACTTAATGTACTCATAGCTTAAATTTATCAAACGAAAATTCATTGAAAGAGTTCATTTCATGATCTTATCAATGTGTACATTTTTGAGGGGATAACATGGTCTGTATGAAATAATTTTATTTCTGCCATCTTCATATAAAATTTAACTTTGTACAAAAATGTAAGACTTTTAATCATGCACATTTATTGAATTATATCACCCAGATTTGTTTTAATTTACAAAATTATAGCACATTGTGGAATCAAAGTCAATTTAAAGAAAAAAAGTAACCCATTTTCAATGACTTCAAAGATGTTTTTTATGTATATACTTTTTAAAAAATCTAAGAAAATGTGTTTGTTTTTCTTATGTGCATAACAATCAATTTCAACATGAAAAGACATGAGTCAGTGACATAAGATATATTGCCTATGTGAAGCTAGGAGGTGGAGGTGGAAGAGTAGTTAGACAACTATAGACAAGGGTTAATAGAGTCTTTTTTTTTTTTTTTCTTTTCTGCTCGAAAGGTCAAGTAGGTGCCAGGTTGGAATACTAGGATAACAAAAGAAAACAACTTTTAATAAAATACTAACTCTCCTCTAGTAAAGAAACACAAAGTGCTTCTTTAGTCGTTCTATTTCTTGATGGCATTTATGGGTGAAGAAATCCATTCTGTGTCAGGTCCATATGGATAAAATTGGCTTGAACTTTTTTTTAAACAAGTTTATTGAGATATAACTGATATATAGAAAAATAATATTTACAATTTGATAAGTTTGGAGACCTAAACCTTTTGAGACGTGGAAAATTTCTATCATTGTTGTTTTGTATGGTCAAAATAGGAATCATCACAAAACTTGCTAGAATACAAACAGAAAAAAATGAAATTTTAGTCATTACAGGCCTTGCAACTATTTATACAGTGTTTTTGATGCCATGAGACCTCTGTTGGTTTATCACAATATTGATTCATGCAGAAAACAAACATGTTTTTATCTAACCAAATGCAATCATAGTTCTTCTTTTCAGATGGCATCTGAATTTTGGATAGCTCACAAGGGTAATACCTAAAATAATAATCAAACTATATTGCCAAAGGCTTAAAATTCTGGAATATGATCAACAATCAGCCCATTGGCATTGTGAGAAAAATATGCCACTGATTAATTTTCTCTGATGTTGTATTCTTTGATGTGATCATGAAATATGTTCAGAAAAGCATTAAGGGCTATAATTGCACAAAACTGTAAACTTGTAAGTATTGACTTGACATGCTGGCTTTAAGATTAAAATAAAAAACAGATACATTAAAAGCATATATTTTCTACGTGTGTTGAACCAAGCCGAAGACATTCTCTATTTTCTGGAAAGATTTTGTACAAATGGACAGACATTTAGTCTGCGATCAGAAGAAGATTTTAATTATGTGTGCAATAAATCAATGCATTTTATTTTTATAAATATCCCAAATCAAAATTTAGTGACTTGATACTACACAAGATTTCATGGGAAGGGCAAATTATTGTTTTAATGATGGATGATTAAATGTAGCAGCTGTAAACAGTTGGACACATGGTGAGTGATGCTGATGATTTCCATGATAACAGAAGATGAAATTCTATTTTAGATGGTATTCTCTACTGGCAACAAGTAATAGCTTTACCACCTGGCCTAAGATTATAATTTTGTGTGCTCATTAACCTTAAATATCTATATGGCTATATTTTTGTCTCTCTCAAATAAGAAAGCTTTTCTCCATTACTTAGATTATTTCTAGGTAATTATGTTTCTGAAGCTTATATATTGATCAAACAAAAATTAATTTTTGAAGCACCACAGATGGATGGATTTAACCTGTATCCCATCTTTAAACACAATATTTCATTTTCATCCTGCAAATATAAGTCTTCTATCAGAATATGAACTCCAATATCACAGTATATCACACTGGCTTATTTGAGGTCAAAATACTAAGTAATATTTACAGCAAAGAAATATAGGGAAAAGGAGCTATATTTAAATTCAAGATGCAATATAGTACATAAAACTCCAATTAACTAAAAATTAATCTGGAGGAATAAAGTATGAACTCTATTCTCAAAATACATGTAATGCCAATAATAGTGATAAATTATAAAGGATGGAAAATGAATTAATATAGTTATATAGTTGTAGGTTGTCCAACAAGATTTTTGTTAAAAAAATGAAAAATCATAATAAGTGATGGTGACATCTTAAATACTAATATTTTTCTTACTTCTAAGCTTCTAGGTTTTTATTATAAATTAGATGAAATTAAGGTTGTTATACAAAATAATATCCCCTTAGTCCTCTATGGGTGTATCAGTCAAGGTTCTCCAGGGATATAGAAACAATACAATATCTCTATCTATCTATCTCTACCCACTTCTATATCTATCTAAAGATATTTATTTATTTTAAGGAATTGATTCATGCAATTGTGGGGGCTAGTAAGTCCAAAATCCATAGGTCAGGTCAACAGGTTAGAAACTGAGGCAGGAGTTAATGCTGTAGTTTTAAGGAAGAATTTATTTTTTTCCTAGAAAATTATGTTTTGCTCTTAAGATCTTCCACCTGATTGCAGGAGGCCTACCCACATTTTTTGGGGTAATCTTCTTTACCTAAAGTTAATCTTCTTTACTTAAATCACGCTTAGATCACTATTTGATCAACATATGGGGTACTATCACTTAACCATATTGACACATAAAACTAATCATCACAGTGTAGTACAATATAATATATAAACTCTTTGAAACAAATTTACATATATGCAGCCTATAAATCTCATCCATTATGTTCTAGTGTTATCAGGTCTCTTCTAAATGCTCAAACTTTCCATCTTTGACCTTCTTTGATCTAATAATAACGAGAAGAAACAAAAAGTTTAATTCAGTTATTGAATCTAAGATAGTATGAAAGTTACCAGAATCAAAATGGAGTCACTAGTGTTAAAAACTGTTAGAAATAGAGCTAGGGAAGGCCTTGAAGGAAGAGTTCTCATGCACAGTGCCTGATAACGAGAATTATCACAAAAGACTCAAATGTACAATGCATTAGACATTGTTTTCCTTGTTTCTAGGGTTTAGAGATGCAGCAGTAATACTAATTAGAATACTTAGTTTCTCTCTTCTCCAATACAGAGAGTTCTTTCTAGATTGTCTGCTTATAGAAGACTCCAGACATCCCAACAGTGTTAAATATTATTGAAATGGAGAGGGAATCCCCCCAAAATAAAATTTTAATTATATCGTATGACAATACTTATATTTTTAATTCAATAAATTTTATAAAAATTAGAGACCACATTAAATCAAAATAAACTAAATTTAACTAAAGTAAGAAATCTAATAAAAAATGTCACTTTGACTTTTGGGAGATTAAAAGGGAAAGAGTAGAATGATTTAAAGGGGAATAAAAGGACAATGAAATTTAGAAGGCCTGAGGGACTGCAGTAAAGATTAGTTTTCCTCAGAGGTCGGGTAGCTAGATGATGAATTATTCAGCCTGTGATTCGCTACCAGTGAGCAACTTGCCATCTGTTTCCCCTTTAAAATTTTATTATTTAACAACACATCTTAAAATGTTTGGAAGCCTATCTCAGACGTTTTGAGTGTGTCCTTTTTTAATTCCCCAATTAGGTTTGTTTTATTATCTTTTATGTGGTCTAACTAGAGACTCTACTATAATCATATAATATATTCTTCTTTCAATAAATACTTTAATCTGAACATATTTCTATAAGTGTATACTTTCAAGGAGGATAATATCAATCTCTTTCTCCTTAATGCAAAAAATATATACTCTTGGAAAATTTGTAGATTGTTTTGAAAGACTGACATTAAATTTTGACTTACATTTTTATCACTTTTTATTAGCTGAATGTGGAGGTCGTTTTAAGGGAGAATCATCAGGAAGAATCCTGTCTCCTGGTTATCCTTTTCCCTATGACAACAATCTGCGTTGCATGTGGATGATTGAGGTAGATCCAGGAAACATCGTCAGGTAAATAGATTTCATTTTCTCAAAATTACTAGGAAATCTGAATTACCTCATCAGCCCCTATATGAAATCAATATCAAGATTTTTCCTTATTTTTTATGTTGGTAGGGGAAAATTTGGTTTTCATGTGCTTAAAATATGAGAAAAGGTATTTATTAGCAGGATTTATTGATTTATGGGCAGCAGTAACCTCTATAACCCCTTAGAAGGAAGCTTTTCATAGTTATAGGAGGTCATAGAAATTGAGAATTTTTCCTGCTTCTTGTGAACATTGTTCTTTCAATTCTTGATGACTCAAGATGCTGAATCTACCATTTGGTAAATATACAAAGTTGTGCAGGACACTACCAGAAGTGCGCAAGAAATAAGAATAGAATGGGACTATTAAATATCATTTTCTGTCTTCCTTCACCTTAGGCACATTTCTGAAGCATCTGCTCTCTGCCCCTTTAATTGTGTTAGATTCTCCTTTACTGCAGAGTTTAGTTAGGTGGCTCACAGTTCTTCACATTGTTGCCCCTTACCTGAATAAAAAATGATCATTTCCTAAATCAATATCCGGCTTCCAAGATCTGTCATGGGCTCTTAGTCCAAGTTTTACTATTATAGCTTTGATGTATAAGCTAGTTAGTGTGTTATCACTCACAAACAATAACTTAAAACTTAGGAATTGCTACTTTATATAAATGTGATTTCAGACAGGCTTCTAGGTGGTGTACTCCCATGCATTGATGGATGCAATATGAGCTGGTACATCACTTTTGCAAGGCAGTGTGCAGAACTCAAAATAGGCTACACTAAATCCATCCCCAGCTTATTTTTTCTTTAGTTTAAATCATGCATTGTTTTATTTAAATATTAGAATTATTAATCTTGAAAATAT